CCCCTACACACACACACCACAACACACATACTCATACACACACACACACATACTCATATACACACACACACACTCACTTTCACCCCACACAGATCCATGGCACTCTGCGTGTGGTGATGAAGCCGTTGATCAATCGTATGCCTCTCATCGGTGGAATGCTCGTCTTCTTCCTCAACAATCCGGTATGTATTTTTTGGTCTTAGTAAGAGTTTTATGGAACTTGCAAAACTATTAGACTATTGCCAAAGATTAGAGGGTGCGATAGCGGAGCAGTTAGCGTGCTCGTCTCCGAAGCGGAAAGTGTGTCTTGGAGTTGGGGAAGTAAAGGCGGCGTGGAAAGGAACTGGCCACCCTACCACAATATGCCAACGGCCCAGGAAGTTGTCTCACTAACAAGGCAATCCCCAATGTCCGGATTGGATGCGGGAATAACTTTACTAGAGAGTAACAAACACATTTTTAAAAAAGAAAGGAGAGATAGGGATGATAGCAGTATGATAGGAAAGAAGGAGGAAACCACACCAGAGCACCCATCCACCAACCACCCACCAATATGTATGCCCTCTCCCTGTTCAGATTAGAAATTTTAAAAATAAGTGTAGGTGTTTTACACCTCCTATCTACACAATTTAGATCATTTAGGAGGTGGGCTTCCAACCCTGTCTGTCAGGTCCAACCCGCGCTGAGAGGGATATAACATCCCAGTAGACAGACAGAATACACAATAAGAATTTTTCCCCTCTCGAGAATCCAACTCAGTTTGTCTGCGAGCGACAGCGAAGCACATAAGCGCTACACCGCAGACGCCGATCTCTCCCTTGTCAGATAAGATCACCTTCACCTATCCCTTAGACTGGATGTCCGTTGGGACGCTTTTGAAGATTTGGCCATCAGCTTCCTCCACTCCTTCCGGTCTTCAGCTTTTCTGAGCGAGTGTCTTTTAGCTCCAGGCCTGTTCATTCCTTGATGTTTTTCCTCCCAACTCTTCTTTGGTCTGCCTCCGCTCCTTTTTCCCTGGACGCTGCCTTGCAGGATCATGTTGGCAAGGCCAAATAAGATGTAATAATAATAATAAGTGACATTTGTATAGCGCTCAACCCCGATTTAAGTACACAGGCTTTGAGCCCTTTACAATACAATGCAATATACAACAGTAACATAAAACGTTGTGTTCTGACGAAATGAAAATCACTCCAAATGTTCATCTTATTAATTTAAAAACAGAAACGACTTCAGCTGACATTTGAATGAATTGAAGGATTTGATCTCTCATAAAGTACGAGTACTTGACAAAGCATTCCAGATCTAGGGGCCTTGACATTCAAAAAATGCCCTTTCACCTATTGTTTTAAGTTTCATAGATGGTAAAAGAAGTTTCTCCCCCCAGGGCGGTGCTACTGACTGAAGTGTCTTTAGGCCATTCCCAGAGGGGGGACATGAACATCTCGAGTTCTTATGCACATTGGAATTGTAATTGTAAATAGGCTGATTCATCAATGCCATGCTCATAACTGTGCCTGAACTGTAACAGGGAACTGCTGCTTTTTCTTTCCTAATTCTTAATATCATCATTTTCCCTCTACTTCTTTTGTATGTTTGTCACACTCTTGTGACCCTCTTTTTCTGGGGTGCCTTGATAGTCGAAGCAGACCTTGTGCTGTTGAAGCTAGAGAGGTGAGCAGAGTAAGTCTGATTCCCTTTAAGGACTTCTCTGTTGATATCCACCCCTTGCTCCTCATATAATGACCTTATGCAGTTTCGAGCACTGTAAAATCACTACAAAAAAACTAAACTAAAATACTTCGTCCTGTCTTCTTCACTCACAGGATATAGACTTCAACCTTACCAGCCTGGCCAATGCCTTCGATATTCCAGGTCTGAGGTAAGTACCAGCGAGTGGTTGGAGGGTGTCACTGGTAGGTGTGGGTGGTTGGAGGGTGTCACTGGTGAGGTGGTGGGTGGTTGGAGGGTGTCACCGGTAGGTGTGGGTGGTTGCAGGATGTCGCTGGTGAGGTGGTGGGTGGTTGCAGGATGTCACTGGTTGGGTGGTTGGAGGGTGTCACCTGTAGATGTGGGTGGTTGAAGGATGTCACTGGTAAGTGTGGGTGGTTGGGGGGTGTCAATGGTAGGTCCTACTTCTTTACTTTCCCTCTGTTGTTTCTGTTTGTGTGGATGGTTATTATTCTTTTTACTATCAAAATAATAATAGTCCTATTTTCATTATTATTATCATCATTTTTGTTATTGTATTTTGGTTTGTAATTGTAATAGTCCTAATCGCCCCCTCCCTCCCTTCCTCTCCCTCTCCCTG